GCCTTCTGGCCTGCAAGTTTCTCTTGGGAAATGTGCTGATTATCTTATGAGAGTCCCTTGTATGTTTCAAGTTGCTGTTGAGGCTTCCCAGATTTGCTTCGTCTTTGACTTAGGGTAGCCTAGTCATAATGTGTTTCGAGGTGGGTCTTTTGGGGTGTATCCTGTTGAAGTTTGTTGAGGTTCAAGTCTGCTGTTGAACCATTTTAGTGATGTTTTCAATTTTGTTACTGTGCTTTCTAGCTTCAGTTTGGTTCTTCTTTTATAACTTTTGTCCCTTTGTTGGTATTTTCATTTTGTTTATGCATCATTTTCCTGATTTTATTTAGTTGTCTGTCATGTCAGTATTCTCTTTTAGCTCATTGGTCTTAAAATACTTATTTTAAGATCTTTGTCAGGTAGCTTTCTTTAGGTTTGGTTTTTGGAGATTTTTTTTCCTTTGAATAGGTTATACTTTTTTGTTCTTTATGTGTCTTGTGATCTTTTGCTGAATATTGGGCATTTGAAAAACAGCTACCAGTCTCTCTATCTGTGAACTGGCTCCGTGCAGAGAAAGATCTTCGTTAGTTAGCTTTACATGGAGATACCAGGTCCTTTAAAACCTTTCCTGGGATGCTTCTGTGGGCTTGTGTTCTTTAATTCCTGTTCCCCTTTATACATGGCTGCTTTTAAATATGTTAATTTCCCTCACAGTCTCACCCTGCTTTTTTCTCGTGGCCTTAGATTTCCATTATATTCCTCTGCCTGTAATTTCTCACCCCAGTTTCCCCTGGGTTTGTAAACTCCCTGAAATTCTGATATCAAACTTGTCAAAACTATGCCACAGTTTTCCATCAGTGCTCAGTCAGGCAAGTCAGGAACCTGTCCTTTGTGCAGACCCCAAGCTAGCCAGAATATGCCAGTTCTTTCTATCCCGAGGGAGGAACTAGGAATTGGTCAGTTTCTCCGGACCTTGGCACATACATACCAGGAAGGGGTGGGGCAAGCAAAAACTATAGGAAATTCTGCAGTTTTGATTGCTTTTAAGATGCAGTAACTAAATGCTGCAGCCACGATTTTCTGTTTTGGTTATTTGGTATACCCATGTGGGAATGAGGTCTGGAGCCTCCTTCTCCACCATCTCACTTAAATATACTCAAAAAGCCAAAGGAGTGATGTAAGAGTTTTCTAAAGTCTTTGTCTGATACTTCTGATACCTGCATGTCTTCTTGTTTGAATAGGCCATATTTTCCTTTTTTTTTGGTTTGCTTTCATTGCTTTTTGTTGTTGAAAATTGGGCATTTGAGAAAATATAACCCCCTCTCCCAGTCTTTGCAGACTGGCTTTTTTCCAAGGAAGACCTTCATTAATATGCAGCGTGTGATCTCTGTCTTGGGATCTGCCTTAGGTGAGGGCCTAAGGTATTTTCAGGCCTTTCTGAGCATGTGTCTTTCCTGGGCCTAGGTATGTGCTTTTTTCAATTCCTTGTATACACAGATGCTATTAAGTATCTTAATCTCTCAAAGAGTCTCACCCCAGCTTTTCAGGGACTTAGGCTTTTTCCTGCACTCCTTCACGTGTAGTCCCTTTCCTGGGCTTCTGTGGGTCTGTTGTCCCCCTGCAGTCCTGAGCATTGTCTGTTGTGGCTTTCCATTGCTCTTCCCCATTCTGTCTCCAAATCAGGCAGAATAGACCAGTCCTCAGATGCCCCCAGGCAGGTCGGAATACCACAAAGTCTGCTCTAATTTGTCCATCGGTAGGGAACTCGGAGATGGGTTCTGTATCCTTTAGACCACATCATACCATAGGTAAAAATGTCAATACATTTAAAAGTAACTGCATAGGGAAAATATGGAAAAAACTCACAGTCTGCCCCAAGGCAAGACACCTGAGAAGATCTTAGCCTTCACTCTGGAACAATCCCAAATTCCTCCCATTTTAAATATGACTTTGTCTTGGACATTCATGTTTGCCATAGATCTTTGCTTTTCAGATATTTTAAGTCTCTAGTTGTTTGAATGTTTTCATTGAGGAACAAAGCGGTGGAGTGGAAGTTCACCACCCTGCTAATGTTATTCTCTCTGTCCTTAATTCCTTATTCTTGTTATCCTTTTAGGGGACAGGAATCACAGTGAGATGGAAACTCTTCATGAAGCAGAAGTGAGGAGCCTTTCACTGGGAGAGCTTTCATGCTGGCAAATCAGGAGACATGTTGGAAGGAAATTAACCAAAAGTCAAGACTCTGCGATAAATGTTCAAGGAAGGAATTCTCAGTTCCCCAAACGACATGACTCCCCCTGTCAGGTGGACACAGGGGTATGCTTTCAGGCTTCAGAAGAGGACAACTGTATAATGAACCTTATAGAGGAGCATTCCAGTATTATTGAAAATCAAGAATTTCCAAATGGGAGAGCTCAGAATTCTTGGAATAAAAGATACGTTAATGAGGCACAGAATTCTCAGAGAAGTTGTAAGCAGACCCAGATGAAAAACAAATTATGTATATTTTCTCCATATGTTGACATTTTCAGTTGTCTTTCACACCATGATAACGATACAGTGCACCAGAGAGAGAAAGCTCACAGCTACAGGGACTGTGGTGGAGACATCGTAAGGATACCACCTCTTACCCAGCACAGTATAATTCACGTAGGACAGAAAACCTACCATTGTAACAAGTGTGAGAAGGTGTTCAGTGATAGCTCGAGTCTTGAACTTCATCAGCAGGTACACTTGGGAAAGAAGTCCCTTACATACGGTACAGATAAGAAGAATGCCAGTTATAGCTCAGCTGGTCAACAGAGTGGCCGCACAGGAACAAAACGCTATTGGTGTCAAGAATGTGGGAAGGGCTTCAGTCAGAGCTCAAACCTGCAGACTCACCAGAGAGTCCACACAGGAGAGAAACCCTATTCATGCCATGAGTGTGGTAAGAGCTTTAATCAGACCTCACATCTTTATGCTCATCTGCCTATTCACACAGGAGAAAAACCCTACAGGTGTGAAAGTTGTGGAAAGGGCTTTAGTCGTAGCACAGATCTTAATATTCATTGCCGGGTTCACACCGGAGAGAAACCTTATAAATGTGAGGTGTGTGGGAAGGGCTTCACGCAGAGATCACATCTTCAGGCCCATGAAAGAATCCACACTGGAGAGAAACCGTATAAATGTGGGGATTGTGGTAAACGCTTTAGTTGTAGTTCAAATCTTCATACCCATCAGAGAGTCCACACCGAGGAGAAACCATACAAATGTGATGAGTGTGGGAAGTGCTTCAGTTTGAGCTTTAATCTTCATAGTCATCAACGAGTCCACACAGGAGAGAAACCGTATAAATGTGAAGAGTGTGGGAAGGGTTTTAGTTCAGCCTCCAGTTTCCAGAGCCATCAGAGGGTTCACACAGGAGAGAAACCATTTCGATGCAGTGTGTGTGGAAAAGGCTTCAGTCAGAGTTCGTATTTTCAAGCCCATCAGAGAGTCCACACTGGGGAAAAGCCATACAAATGTGAGGTTTGTGGGAAGCGCTTTAATTGGAGCTTGAATCTTCATAATCATCAGAGAGTCCACACAGGAGAAAAACCATATAAATGTGAGGAGTGTGGAAAGGGCTTCAGTCAGGCCTCAAATCTTCAAGCTCATCAGAGTGTCCACACTGGGGAAAAACCATTCAAATGCGAGGCATGTCAGAAGCGATTCAGTCAGGCCTCACACCTTCAAGCCCATCAGAGAGTCCACACTGGAGAGAAACCATATAAATGTGATACGTGCGGTAAGGCCTTCAGCCAGAGGTCAAATCTTCAAGTCCATCAGATAATTCACACCGGAGAGAAGCCATTTAAATGTGAGGAGTGTGGGAAAGAATTCAGCTGGAGTGCTGGGCTCAGTGCCCATCAGAGGGTCCACACAGGAGAGAAGCCGTATATGTGTCAGCAGTGTGGGAAGGGCTTCAGTCAGGCCTCACATTTTCACACACATCAGAGGGTCCACACTGGAGAAAGGCCATATATATGTGATGTCTGTTGTAAGGGCTTCAGCCAGAGATCACATCTTGTGTACCATCAGAGAGTCCACGCTGGCGGGAATCTATAGAGGTGGGAGATGTGGAATAGCCACCTCTTCATCTCTATGCGCAAGTCCATGCTGCTGATTGTGGAAGTTCCTTCAGAACTCAGAACCTTCGAAGAATCTTCAGGGGAAAGAAGTGCTATAAAGTGTTCTGTTTTAAGAACTCAGTTGGGAGATGAATTTTTTCAAACATCAGATTTCACAGATGAGAGGAAAACCTGTTCTATAAATATGGTCAGTGTTTGTACCAGAGCTCTGAATGTCCCGAAGCAAGATGCAACACAACGGAACCCTAGAATTCCTCAGAGTCTAGCCAGGAGAGAGGCCTTATAACTGAAGGTTAGGGGTAGGACCTTAACCAAAGTATAATGCTGGACAAACAACATTGATACCAGCTGCATGTAACTTCTACACAGGGAGGGGTGTTTCTTTTCTTACCACTGTCTCTACCATGTGGAAGTGTGCCTGACTGAGCAAAGAGAAAAATCCCTGTAATTTGGACAAATATTTGAAAACTAGTCCCATACCCTAAATTCATAACATGCTCAAAAGGAGTCATGCAAGTAGCCTTAATAAAATTTCAGGAAATATTAGTTGAAGTATAAAAAAATCATGTAATGCTGTCATCCACAATCATGCAAATTTTGGCGAGACATGTGTGTGTGTGGCCCCCATCCTCCGTCCGGCCTGTTCTTTATAGTGTCAACCATTGTGTACAGTATAACATTTAGTATCAGTCTGTATTTTATAGACAAAAATACTGTTTTATTGGTCTTATAACATGATACTGCAACTTATATAATGGGAAGTTTTGAACCCTGGTTATTAAGTAGGGTTTTCTTATAACTCTTTGAAAGTGTTAAGAGTAGTTATTGATGACAAAAGGTTACTTAGTAAACTTGAATTGTTAATAATTGGTTTCTTCTCATTTTTTGCATTCAGACTCAGGCCAGATTGCCTTCTCTTAGTCCTTCCTCTGTCTAGACCTCTTTACAAGTCATTAGTTTTATCATATTCCACCCCTGTTCTTACCTCCTAAAATGTGGGGTGGTAGACAAGAAACCTAATTTTGATTGAAAGTTCATTAAATGTAACAATGGAGACAGGTTGCTCCTTACACAACCTTTTGTGTTCCATACCTCTTTGTAGGAGTGGACATCAGCTAGTCACGTCAATATGTATCAATATAGCCTTTGACGTGGCAGTTCTAGCCCTGGAGTTCTGCTTTGGAGATCATAGCAAGAGTGGAAAGGATTGTATGCAAGGAGGTTTATACTGTATTTTTTTAAAAACTAGCATCCAAATATTTGAATATTCTAATATGTTTACCAGTTTACTCTGGTACAAAGGGTTGGGATATTTTGACTTAAAAAAATTACTGATTATCAATTTTACCAAAGCAATTTCAACTATGAAACAGTAAAATTACTGGACAAAATGAAGATCCCTTACCCCTAAATCTTACTGCTGTATCTCATCATAGGGTCTGTAAGCCTGTGTTCTGTATATACATACAGGATGTTCCCTGTTGCATTATTGGTAATAGGGCACACATCAGTTGGATTGATAAATTTATGGTTTATCCTTTCAGTGGAATACTATGCAGAATCAAAGAGAAAAAGATAAACTCAAGAGTTACTGACATTGGTAATACCCTAAATATGCTTAGAAAAGTGGGCAGAGACAGGATTTTGTATTCTATACATTTATATATATATATAAATTATGTATACACAATTTACCATTGAAAGGTAACCAGATCATATTTTTAAGTGTGTGCATATTGTGATATAGATGTATGATATGATAAAAAAAATCTGAATATGATCTGATTACCTTCAAAAGCAGCGTTACATTTTTAAACTTTTCCTGTAATGTTTTTAGAATGTTGTAAAACCTTTATTTTCAATTCATTCTGAGCATTCAGAAAAGATGCAAGAATAATAGAATTCCCATGTGTCCTTATAGAATTCCCACACACCACATACCACATGTGATTATGATCAGATCTGGTCATTCACATGTCTAGTGCCTCAGCTAAAGAACCCAAACAGCACTGGTTCCTCAGACATGTCTTCCCATCTCAGTGTGGCCTCATCAGCATGACCACTTCATAGTGACTTGACACTACATGGTGGCTGTAAGTATCCCAAGAAAAACCAGCAGAAAAGTACTCTGGGCTTTTCTAATCTAACCTTGGAAATTACAGTGTCATTTCTGCTTCAGTTAATGATGATCCTATCCAGGACCAAGGGGAGGGGACATGGGCTGTGCTCCTTGGTCAGAGAAGTGTCAAAGAATTTGCAAACATTTTAAAACTACCATTATATTTTCTAACTTGCAGTTTACTCAGATTCCACAGTTGTCTCCTACTATGTTCACAGCATTTTTTTTCTATTTCAGGATGCAATCACAAGACATGTCATACCCTGCATTTAGTTGTCATGTTTCTTTAGTCTTTAAATCTGTATCAGTTGCACTATTGTTCTTTTTCTTTCATGAAATTGGTGTCTGAAGAGTACAGGCTAGTTATTTTGTAGAATAACCCTAAGTTAGGTTTGATTCCTCATGATTGGATCCAAATGAAATATCTGTGGCATGAGTATTACGTGACTGGTGCATACTTCTCATGCATTCCAACCAACAAATGTGTTGTTTTTGTTTCATCAGTGATGCTATATTTGATCATCTGAATAAACCAATGATTACTAGGTTTCTCTAAAATTGCTGGGGTTTTTGCCTTTGAAAATAAAAACTAATTTGTGGGGAGATCCTTGAGTTATATAATTATAACTACCTCATTATAATCTTTCACCTACTACTTTGTGTTCATTGATATTATCTGAATCAGTTATTACTGTGATCACTGCAAAATGAGTTTCTGACATGATCATTCTTTCTACACTCAGCAATTGGCATTCTACTGTTAGAAGAGTTTTCTGTTCTCCCTTGTCTCTTCTCTCTCTTAACTATTATCAGTATGAATCCTTGTTTCCTGGTATAAGAAGATACTGGGTTTATCTTGTATAGTGCCTGCTCCAGCCACAAATTCTGTAGAGCCCCAAGTCCTTTGAGTGAAGAATAGTATTTAGAAATTGAGATCTGTGTGTTACATCTTCTCATCATTATTGGGACATCAGTCCTTCAGGTGTAGGCGTGTGCGTGTGCATGCCCACACAAAATACTGATATCTTAAAATTTCAAATAGGTATTTTTTTCTAGTCTCTTATCCCATATTTACTTTTTCTAGCAAGTAGTCTGAGTTGCTAAACACTATCACTGGAAAAAAAAAAAAAAGAAACCTGGTTGTGTTCAGGATTTATTTACAGGTCCTTTTCTCTTTAGATGAAATATATAGGACAAAGTGCTCTGTTTAAAAGTTACTTTGACTATTTTTCTAATCTCCATTCAGTCCAATTATGTTATTTGAAATAAAGTTAAATTTCCAAAAAGTGTTTATACTCTCAGGTTCCCTTCCCCATCTTTTTGGGAAGTGTAGTTAGGGCACTTGTACAATTATAATATATTTTCATTTGATTTTCTTATATTTAGACATTTTTATTATCATTTTCTATTTATCGCCTTAGAAATGTACATGAAGTGCTTTTCACTGTTCCACATTCTTCATAAAATTAATGACTACAGTGCATTCCTTTGAGTAGATAAGCTACAGGAATTACAGGAATGGAGAGATTGTAATGCATGGTGAAAATTGGGTGGATTCACAAAGGCAAGATAGCTTATGTTTATATATTATAAAAAGAGAAAGAGCTAGTGAGTGTAGACCTTTAGGGTCAGAGAAAGTTCACCACCAAGCTCTGCTGTGGTAGTTGCTTTGGGACTTGTATAATTCACTGGATAAAAGAATTTCTACCCAGGGGAGGGGCTTAAAGATGGCAGCGTAAGAAGTGAGACAGAAACCCTCCTCCCAAAACCACATATAATGTGAAAATATAGCAAATAACAACTAATCCTGAAAAAGCAACAGGAAAGAAGACTGCCTACATCTGGGGAAAAGAGAAGACCTCACAGAAAAGGGTAAAGCAGCAAAGCCATGATCCAGCAGGACAAAAGCCCTTCCCCCACCCCAGCTCACGGTGGAAGAAAGAGAAACAAGCAGAGAGTGGGTGGAGGCCTAGGACTGCTGAACACCCAGCCCTGGGGATCTGCTCTGGGAGCATGAACCTACATCACATGGTGCCCTGGAGATTAGTGGGGTTGGAAAGCTAAGACAGGAAAAATACTTGGAGACACTGAGATTTCAGCAGCTTGTGGAGAACAACTACCCACAACCAGCCGCTCTTGGACAAAAGAAAGGTAGGCACTCTGAGAGACTTCCCAACAGCAAGAGGGCTGCTAGAGGGGCAAGGATTGCACAGAGCTTGCTGGTCACAAGAAAGGACAGGTGGACAAAATCATCCCAGCACACTCAGCCCAGCAAGTTGGGAACTTTTGGGAGCTTCAGGTGCTCCATCCCCCCGGTTGGCATCACAGCCGCTAGGCCCCCCAACTGCGGTATGCAGCCTGCCTCTCCTTCCTTCCAGCCAGCATAGGCTCACAAACCTGCTGCCCCTACCAATGTACAAGGCCAGCTAGGGGGAAGCAGTGCCTACAGCAGCTATAGAGGCTCCTCCCTGGGCACTTGGCCCACGGGCCCTGGCAGTGGAGGCAGGCACTGCAGATGGGAAGCAGGAAAGAGCTCTTTCCTCCTGGCAGGCACCAACGCCACTTGCCTCCAACCTCCACCATCACTCCAGGGGCTGAGAAGCTCCAGAGAGTAGAGCTTCTGGGCACTAGAGGGCACCAACTACACAAAGTTATTTCATATCATTCATTACAAATATGAAATGTCGAAAGAACCTAGTATAAACCAAAATCCTACAAACACCAGAAGGAGGGCCAAGTGAAAGTGCAATCACCGATCTTCCTGATAAAGATTTCAAAATAAAAATCATGAACATGCTCATGGAGCTACAGAAAAAATATTTAAGACCTCAGGGAGGATTTCAAGAAAGAGATAGAAACTTTGAAAAATACAGTTTCTGAAATGAAACATACAAGGGAGGGATTTTAAAGCAGATTAGATGAAGAGCAGACAGTAAATGAAATAGAAATTAGAGAACAGGAATACAAAGAAGCTGAGACACAGAGAAAAAAGGATCTCTAGAAATGAAAGAATATTAAGAACTGTGTGACCAATCCAAAAGGAAAAAGTTGCATTATAGGGGTACCAGAAGAAGGAGAGAGAGAAAAGGGGAGAGAAAGTGTCTTTGAGGAAATAATTGCTGAAAACTTCCCCAATCTAGGGAAGAAAATAGTCTCTCAGGCCATGAAAGTGCACAGATCTCCCAACACAAGGGGCCCAAGGAAGACAACACCAAGACCTATAATAATTCAAATGGAAAGATCAACAACAAGGACAGAGTATAAAAAGCATCCAGAGAGAGAAAAAAGGCAACACACAAAGGAAAACCCATCAGGCTGTCATCAGACTTCTCAGCAGAAACCTTACAGGCCAGAAAGGAGTGACCTGATATATTTAATGCAATGAAACAAAAGGATGTCAAACCAAGAATACTCTACCTGGAAAGATTATCATTTAAATTTGAAGCAAGGATTAAACAATTCCCAGATAAGTAAAAGTTGAGGGAATTTACCTCCCACAAACCATCTCTACAGTGTATTTTGGAGGGACTGCTGTAGGTGGAAGTGCTCCTAAGCTAAATAGCTGTCACCAGGGAAAACCACTGTAAAAGAAGTAGACCAGTTAATTCAGTCAGGGACACACAAAGAGCATGAAGAGTGGAGGAGGAAGATGCGCGGTTGCTGGGGATGAGGGAGGGTGTGGCTGTAAAGGGCAGCAGCAGGAGAAAGCCTGTGCCGATGGAGGGGTTCTGGATCTTGTTTGCAGCAGTGACTACAGAAAACTACATGTCATAATTTTGCATAGAACTATGAACACATACAAATGAGTGCTTGTAAAACTGGTGAAATCAGAATAAATTCTGGGATTACATAGTGTCAATTTCTTGGTTTTGATATTGCACTACAGAGCATAAGATGTTACCACTGGGACAGGCTGGGTGAAGGATGCAAGGGACCTTTCTAGTATGTTTTAAAATTGCCTATGAATTTGTAGTTGTTTCAAAATTGCTTTAAAAATCATAAAATGATTTAAAATGTGTTTATCTTTTTGATCTAACTGTCCCAATTATAGAATTTTACCTCAAGGATAATAAAAATTTCAAGGAGATATGATAAATGCAAGAGGATGCAGACATTAATGTTCAC